GTTGTTAAAACTGGGGGAGGTGAGGGCGGGCAACAGAACATAGCCAGTGTACAAATGAACACTAAACCAGTCAACACTTTTAACCTCTTAGTGATCATTATTTTCCTTGAGAACACAGCAAGCTGCAATTCAGTGGCATACTCAAATGTAGCAAATGCCTGTGTGCATTGTTTCCTCATTCGTTTATTTGTTTAATCAATCATTCAACAAACTTGTATTGAGGTTCGACCTCGTGCCAGAAAATGGGTGATGCAGAGAGAGAGAGCAGAAAGAAAACGAAAACCAGGTATCCAATTCTAAGGTGACTCGCCATGATGGGGAGGTGGGTACAGAAACAGTCAAGTTCAATAGGAAGTGAAATATTCATCAATTTGAAACAGAGATACTGTACTGTATAGGGGGGTGTTCATTCTGACTCAGCAAATCAAGGAAGGCTGCATAAAGGAAGTGGCATTTGAAATATGTTTTGAAGGATGAGTAAGCTTCAAATAAGAGTTCTATGCAGACTCCAAAATTATTATTGCCCTATAGTTCTTTATGGTTTTGATTCAAGCTTTGACAAATAAAAAAACATCATTCTACTTCCGTGTCTTTCCCACAAGCATTTATGAAACATCGGCAATGTGCCAAGTACAGTGCTTTGGCCTACGGAGCACAAGGAATGAATAAGATTAATTCCTGATCATAAGGCACTTAACAGTGTAGTCAAGTAGACCAACATAGCAACAGGTAATTTCGATACAGTGCAAGTGTTAGCATGCGCGATGAGCAGAATCAGAAGATGTGCTCTAACCGGTCACTTGCAATTTGTCTAAATGTCTGTCCTCTTGGTCAGGATCAGAAAACAATACCAACATCTTCATTATGAAACAGCTTCTCCTGTGGGGGAGGGAGAGGGTTGGGCAGGGGCAGAGAACATGTTATCACAGGCATTGACACAGTCCAGTTTTGCCTTAGTCAAAACTATTGAGGCAACACAACCTTGTGGTCAGGTATTGGATTACTTCCTCTTTTCTATATTGTTACAAGACATTCAACAGAGCCAGTTGCACCAGGATGAGGGTAAATACCCTTTGATTTTCTTTCCTTTTTTTTTTTTTTTTGAGACCTTATAGGTATCATGAAGATCACAGGAGACTGTAAATGTGAAGGGAATCAAGAAACCTACTTGATTCTTGCTGTTGTGTTTTAATAGCCGCTTAAAATAAGGAAGTATGTTAGAGGCAGGGCTTTGGAACAAGACCAAGAGTTAGACCGAACGCTCTTACCAGAAATGTTTGGGGACTAGACACTTCTGATTCTCCTTTCCTCACATGTACATGGGAATTTTAAATCTATTTGTTTTGAGGATTGCTTTGAGGATTAAATTAGAACAAGGCTCACATGTTTTGTGCATTATAATTGATAGGCAAATACAAAGGGTTTCCTAATGTTTCTTTCTCATCTTTCATAGGGACCCATATACCTAGTTACTGGTAAATCTGAGGGTAGGCCCCGTATCACTCTTTACTGACTCCATGAAAACACACACATTCTGAGGACTTACTTTGCATCAAGCCCTGTATTTGCTGCTGCGGATTACAGAGATTAAAAAAGACACTGTTCTTGCCACCAAGAATACAAGCTTTTAGTGACTTTATTATAGGATTTTCACTAGATAATCATTCTCTCTCTGCCCCACCTCTCATTTTTCAGTCTGTCTCTTTCCTTCTCTTCTCTCTCTTCCCCACTCAAAGGAAAATTATTCCCACTGCAATTCAAATATGAACCCTGAGCAAACAGTAAGGACACATCTTAGTGCATTTCTGAGAGACAGAAATTTCACTTTGCAAGAAATACTGCATAAATCCTAAAAAGGCACGCTAGCAACAAAGGAAGCTTGAGATCATCCATTATAAGAAAATCAAATCGAAGGCAAATAACAAAAGTACTGCCATGAATCTAACTGTGTAGAAATTGTAGATTCTAAAAATCAAAAGAAACCACTAGAGAGTTCAAACTTCTATCGCCATCTGAATATGAGATACTCCAGTATTGTTACAAGGGAACTAAAGCGGGTCAGTTTAAAGAAATCCGTATCTATCCTGGTGTGGGGGCCCAGGTGTCAGGGCCCCCCAGGGTCAGGAAATGCAGACAGGCTTTGGAGACAGGCAGCCCTGACTCCCCCAGGCCTAGGTGGGGTTGCTAGAAAACAGCTTGTTTATGTGAGCTGCTTTTGTGCTCATGTGTGCTGGCACCAGGACACTGTTGTTATTGTGTTATAAAAACCCCAGCCCTGCTTAGTGGGCTCTGGGTTCTGTGTTGCTGCACTCGTGTCAAAGGCTCTGCAAGGCTGTTTTCCGTTTGGATACCTCACTGCCGAAACTGTCCCTGCCTGAAACACTTGGACTCGACACCTGGTTTGACATTTTTCTGATTCTTTTGCCTTTTCTTAGCATAGCACAACTGAAATAGCATGTTCTCCAAATTATATATAAGTCCCAGTCCCTACCCTCATAGTACCTACAGGCAAAATAACCCCCTAGAGGCATTCTGGTCTTACAGTCTGATCACAACTCATATTGCTAACATAATCTAGTTCTCATAAAACCAACCAGTTTAAAAGTCCTTCCAAGACAGTGCCCACGAATTGCTCATAGGACACGTGACGAATACCCAAGAAATGGGTAGTCTGACAAGTTCAAGGTGCCAGCAATCAGACACAGAAAGATAGGCATGTCTCAAAAGAATTCTACAATAGGTATGAATATTGGCACAGAGAGGTGACTGGAATCAATAGATAAAAAGTTATTGAGTGTTTTCGATCGAATGTATAGCCAAAGAGATGACAGCTTGGTACCAAAGAGACTGACCAGTCAAGGCTTCAAAGGACTCCTTTCCAACCTCTAGGAACAGAAAGTTAGCTGAGATTTATAGGCATAGGCAGAGAAAAGGGTTTTTTGTGGTTTTTTTTTTATTTTTATTGGGTAACAGTGTTTTTTCCAGGACCCATCAGCTCCAAGTCAAGTCATTGTCCTTCAATCTAGTTGTGGAGGGCGCAGCTCAGCTCCAAGTCCAGTCGCCATTTTCAATCTTGGTTGCAGGGGGTGGTGGGGGGAGGGAGCGTAGCCCACCATTCCATGTGGGAATTGAACCAGCAACCTTATTGTTCAGAGCATGCACTCTAACCAAATGAGCCACCCAGCTGCCCCAGAGAAGAGGGCCTTGAAGAAGTCAGAAGGACTTTCCCTTCCTCTAGACTATAGTAGCTAAAGCCGGAAGGAGGAGGATGAGAAATAGGAAGAATGGGAGGAACAGGAAGAAGATGAGATGGAAGAGAGCTATGAATTACAAGAAAGGGAGTCCTGGGCTCCCAGGACAGCTGTAGGGCAGAATGGCTATCTGGTAAACCTAGGCAGATGTGACTGGACACAATCTTAAATAAATGTGTCTACAGTCTGAGGATGATGCTAAAGCAGCTGAGAGACACTGACCATAAGTATGTAGCCCGGAATAATGGATGGTTCGGAAGATAACATTTGTTAGGACTATGGATTAGTTATCTGTTGTTGTGTAAAGTTACCCGAGAACTTAATGCCTGAAAACACCACTGATTATCGCACAGGTCAGGAATTCGGGTAGTGCTAAGCCAGCTCCTCTGCTTCTGGATGTTTCACAGGCTGCAATCGAAGTGTTAGCTGGGACTTCATTCACCTCCAAGCCCCACCGGAGAAGGCTCGCTCACGTGCCTGTTGGCTGGACTTCTGGCTGTTGAACTGAGGGCCTCCGTTCCTCCCCGGCATCTGAGACAACCTTTAGATCCTTGCTATGTGTTTTCTCCAACATGGCAGCTTGCTTCATCAAAGTGTACAAACTAGGAAGGTAACAGAAAGTCCAGCGAGACAGAAGGTGAAGACTTTAGTCACCTAATTGTGGTAGTGACAGCCTGCCTTATTCTATTCAGAAGTTAGTAGTTTCAGAGCACCCTCAAGGGGCGGGGATTATACAAGGATCCTTGAAGGCTGTCTTTGAAAGCTGCCTACCACAGACTAGACGGACTCGCCTCCTAACAGCTTCTGCTGCCTGGGGCATGTTCTATGACATCATCTCAGGGGGAAAGGGAATCCCAAGAAAGAAGGAGATTAACCTTTCTGCCAGCCTGACCAACTGGAGCCTCAGGAGAGAAGTTGGAAACAAAGAAGGAATACATCTTGCACATGTGAGCTGCAGGCTCGCTTACTTCTTGTCTCTTTTATCTCATTGAATTCTCCAAGCCATCCTTTGTAATATATGTTATTATGGTTATAACGGAAAAAATTGCAACTCAAACAGGTTAAGTCACCAATCTGAGAACACACAGCTAGTATGGCAGACTGCGTTTGAAGCTCAGCCTGACTCCAAAACCCACACTCTATCCACAACCCAGTGACCTTCAGTGTTGCTAGAATGTGTCTTTCTTTTATCACTTACAATAGCAGGGATTTGTAGGAACCCACCAGCATCAAGTTCTTGGAACTTTATATACTAAAATATAAAACATAAAATGCCATCCACAGAGTTTTCTGTAAAGCCCAACCTTTCGTGGATCCACATACTGCCACTGCAGACGTTTTCAGAAGCTCAGGCTCCTGGTATTCAATAGTGTTCTGAATTTAATAGCATCAGTGCATTATCACCAATAAATTCAATTGATTTGGACAAAGCACTACTATGCACGACTCATACTGAAAATGGCCAGAAGATGATAAGCAAGAAGTGTGGTGTTGCTTCTTTGAAAGTTTCCCTTATGCTCTCGAAGCTAGGGGCGCCGAGTTAGCTCAAAGCATCCCTCCAGTGACCACGGTGTATCCATGGCCTGACGCATGGACTGTACATCCCTCGCCGCTGGTCCACCAGCCACTCTTGAGTCTTCACCCATGCCTCTCAGCCTGGACGCCACTGATGTGAGCCCCACAGGAAGTGTGACCTCAATCTTCCTCTCAGCCTCTGGTTACGCAGGCTGTTTTTGAAAGAAAACAAGGGCGGTTTTAAGGCTGACTTTCCCAAGAACGACACACTCTTCTATTCTAGGAAACAACCAACAGAACAAGAGGCCGCTGAAGTCAAAACTTCTCTGCGAATGTCTGCACACGGTGATGTGTGAGAGAAAGGTGGGGTTCCCCTTGATTAAGAGACTTCAATACCTGTTGACATTCTGACGGTATTTTCAGCTGAAGAACTGCTAAGTCTTGGATTCCTCCGCTGACTGTCACACTCGGGAAGCTTCGTATTTCAGTAATTGTGCTGTCATCTATCAACTGAAAGAAGAGGCTGGGAACTCCCTTTGGAAAGAACGTGTGTGGGCACATTATTTTTCCAAACAGATTTGTTGCTTTGATGGAACTGGTAGATAGGATCTGCTGCTTGTAACGTTTTAGAACTGTGACTGAAGTCGTTTTCAGTGTTACTAATACTCAATTAACTGTTAGTGCACTGTCTGTAGCCTGCTACAAGTATTTGTAAGATATAGTCATAAGACCTTACTTTCTGCTGCAGGACTTGGCTTAAAATTAAACTGAATGCTTGGGGAAAAGTAACATATGGTGATTTGGGCTGGGCATATTCATATTATATTGATAAAAAAATCAAAAGGACAAATGACATACTATTATATATAGTGAAACAAAAACTATTTTATATTCCAAACAAATGAAATCAGAGAATGTGTGCTTTAAGTTAGAGATTAATTATCCAAGGAATGCCAGAAAGTTCTCCTGACTTATCTAAAGGTTTAGATGAGCCAGGAACAATATTTTCTAACAGGTTTTTTATGTAATTTATTGGAAGAATTCATCTAGAGCTATAGAATTATCCTGGCTTAATTTCATGTATGAAATTAAACAACAACAGCTACCACAACCATCCATTACTAGTTATCACATTTAGAAAAAACGTGGATAGAGGGGGTGAATCAGAAGAGCATTTCATCCCATCTTATAAAGCTATTAGGATGGTGATGCCTACAAAGTTTAATAGTCAACAGAAGGTAGATGAATGTGATGAGCAGTAAATGGTCATAGTTGACATAATTTTTTAATTTGTAATTGAGAAAGTAAACAATATGTCCGTGAGAACTGAGTTTTCAAATCTGCCCAGTGGTGTCCTATTTTTAGTACAAAGCAGGCTGATAGCACATACAAAAGACCCTCTCTGCCTACCTGTCTCTGACACCCATCCCAAGCATTATTTGAAACTTGATAGTGAAGTTGATGGGTGCTGGATGATGAAAATATAAATGAGTTTATTCAGAGGGCTCTAGAACTGATCTTTTTTCAGATTTCTGAATCAAGTAACTCATTTTTATTATGTTATTTTGACAACAAGTCAACCTTTGCAAATCCAGCTTTCCCAAATCAAATGTTGATCGTATGTACAGAAAAAAATTATTTGCATGCACTGATCAAGACAATGGAAAATGTACCAACAAAATCGTAGCAGCAGACACCACCTCAGTGGTCCTTCAGTCCAGCCTCCTGCCTTCCATCCTCTATCACTGTATTATTTCAGTAAACAAATCTGACTAGTGCAATTAGTCGATGCCATCTGTTTTGGCATCACTTTTCTATTTTTAATATATAATCCACCTTTTTTTTTTAACGTCTTTTGCAGAAAATCTGTGAAGTTTGAACAAGCAGCCTTCCCAAGATGTACCAAATATCTCAACTGATGTCAACACCAGTGGCAAGTAAATGTGGGCGAACTGCTATACGCAATTATCTTTTGAATGATTAGACTTCTCTGAGCAATTTCCTTGCTTTGATTTTGCTGATACTCATACCATTAACCATCTGTCAGTAGCTTGTGCTTCTTAAATGCCAGTGTTCACTTTGGCAATGATTTTGACTTCATTTCTTTCCTTGAGAGAAATGTGGTATTTTTCCTTTTAGTAGAAAAAAAAATCACCGTTTTTTTTTAGATGCCTGTGCATAAATGTAAAAGGAGATTGTTTATCCGCTACTATTAAGATGCAAAACTGTCTATAAAAAATACTGAATGATTTTGATAGCTACTTGCAGAAAATAAGGGCGTTGTTAACACAGTTGTTAAAACGGTAGTGGTTTCAAGTTTCTTCCTTCCTCTTGTCATTTGTCTCCCCAACCCTGCTTCTAGCCCCCCCTCACAGGTCTACAATTTTCTCCTTTCAAATCAACCAGCCCAATCTGAACATCTAAATTCCTTTCTTTGCTTAGATATTAATTGTCAGTAATGGAATCAAATTTTGCAGAGCCTGTCTAGTACAAGTATTTACACCACTCCTATATAATATACAAAATTCTGCTTTAGAGTTTAAAATATTAAGCAACTACAACTTTCCCTGATTGAAATCTATTGCCACATCGTTGGTTCAACTGGAATGAATGAATGGATGCTATTTTTCTTTTAAAGTTAAGAATACTGACCTGCTTCATACGTTAGAAAATCATGTCTATGAAACAAAACTTATTTCCTCTACTAATGCCTTTCGCTCATTATTTTACCATAGAATTGCCTTACAAGGCACTAATGAGAGAGCTTTCAGGCAGATGATTGAATTCCTCAGAATACTGAGTAAGCTAAAATAACCAGCACATGGGGTAATTAATTGACTTTGGTTTTCTATAGTTTCACACGTGATGTTTTCGTCCTCCTCTGCATGAGTCAGTGATGCTAATGATTTGTTATTGCCTGATCCTGTGAGTGAGAATAATAATAACGGCCCTCTAAAGAAGTGCTGAATGGGAGAAGAACCAGAGGCTAGAAGCCCTTGGGTGGTTTCTGCCTTCCTGGAGAGGGCTGCTGCCGAACGGTGTTAGTACTGACTCACTGGATGGCGGCACCGGTTGGAGTGTCTGCTGAGGCTGGGACATCAGCTCTCCGCACCTTCTTTACAGCTCCACTGTTCGCAGTTGTGCGTGTTGGTAAGGCGTGCTCCATTTGTCCTCTCTTGTTTGCTTATGCAGGTTCTTCCAGGTCCCAGATAGAACGCGCTGGAGAGCTGTCTTCCACCTGCATCTTCCCAAGGTATTCCATGGGGCTTTCACAAGAAAAAAAAAAATCAAACTCTCCTCCTGCATGCGTTATTTTGTTGCATTCTTGGTTTAAAAGTATTAGCTTTAAGTGTCATCCAGTGTGGGGATAGGTATATATTTTCAGTCCCATGTACATACAAAATGAAAACTTGCCTAACCTAACAATGAATTGTGTGCGTGTTGTGGAGGAGGCTGTAAACGTGCAGGCAAATGTGAGTTGTTTGGTGAGTAGAGAAACTCCTGAATACTGATGTTTGCAATACTTTTCTCAAATGTATGGGGTTGTGGGAAAAGTCATGATATATTTTGTCTATGTTTTTCAAGGGTCATTTATTTATATAAAGAGCAAAGATCGATC